AGAGGGTGCATGTGCTTACCAGCAAGAGACTGAGAAAGAAGAAAGGAAAGTTAGAAATGAGCTTCTAGAAGGGATGGTCATGCTGCAATTCTTTCTCCCCTAGTCTCTTCTTGTGATTTTTGGCACACATGCAAGCCTGCTTGGTGTGATTTTCAAGTCATCAGGTTCGGGATTTGAACCACACAGTCTGCCATGTGGGATCTAGTGCCTTAACCTCCATGCTACCTGCTGGCCCTAAAATTCCAATTTTGAAAAAATGTTCTGATAACTTGTTCTAACAATGGGTCAGTTTTGGAGAATGTCCCATGTGATGATGAGAAGGATATTTGTTCTGTGTCTGTTGGGTAAAATATTCTGTAGATGCCTGTTAGGCCCATTTGGTTTGTAGTATAATTTCATTTCCATTATTGTTGATTTTCTGTCTAGATGATTTTTCTAATGTTAAGAGTAGGATATTGAAGCCCCCAACTATTATCATACTGAAGCCTATCTCTCCTTTTAGATTTGATAATACTTGCTTTATGTATTCGTGTGCTGTGGTGCTGGGTGCATATATACTTATAATTGTTATATACTTTTGCTGAATCTATTTTATTATCATTTAATGGCAACCTTTGGCCCTTTTCAGGGACTAGGGCAGCTGAAGTTTTTCTCACCTTCCAGACCCAAAAAGCTAAATAGCTAGGAAAATCTCCATCTTCTCTCTCTTCTCTTTCTCTTTCTTTTTAAAAATATTTAGAAATTTTTAAAGTATTTTTTTCTTTCTTCTCTAACCTTGCTAATTCTTTCCTTTTCTCCCCTCACATAGGACAGGCAAATCACAGGTCCTTTCAGGAGCCATCTACAGCTGAGCTGTTTCCTTTCCTGTTTGTGTGATGCACTTTTTAAAAAGAAATTTTCTTCTCTTTTTATTGCACTTTCCTTCTTTCCTTTTTGTTTCTCTGTTACCTTACTTTCTTACTTTGCTGCTCAGCCTCCAGATACTGAGTGTCTAGACAGGTCTAGGTGCATAGTAGCCAAACTTCTGAATACTATGAGGGTCAGAAAAATCCTCAACCCCCAATGAACCTGCTGCAAAAAGGGAGAAACTCCTCTTTATAAATCTGAATTCAAATCTCCTTCTGCGGATACCACATTGGAAAACATAGTAGAAGAGAGAAATTGGCTGTAAAGGGGAGCATAGAAACTCATAGTTGTAGAAACCTTCTCCAATAAATTAGCCAAAAGAGAATACATAACCACATGACTAAAAATCAGAGAAGAGAGACAGCAGAGTGAGCAGGAGGGAGCTGCAGAGAGAGCATGGCTCATCTACCCCAACAAACCACTGTACTTTGAGGTGTGTTTACTGGGATCTGAAGAGTCCCACGCCCCCCTCCCTGCCATGCCTTCTGAACTTCTGCTGGGATGGGCCAGAGACTGCCCTAGGACCTCTGCTATCTCCTGATCATTTCACACTTCATAGTTTCCTGAAGCCTGTAATACATGTTGCACCCCTTCTGTCTTCATCAGTTGAAACTTCACAGCTCAGCCCAGGTGTACCTATTGTCTAGAAACTGGGAGGTTTTTGGAATATCCAGTTCCAATGACAAAAGTGCAGGGTGCCAGGTGAGTATCAGGGAAATGGAACTGTAGAGAGATTGTGGATCACCTCCTCCCACACGCCTCTGAATATTCAGAATTAACTCCAAGAAGTTAGGAAGAAACATAATCCAGTGGATGACCAGAACCATTGCAGAAGCACAAGAAATATGAGAAACAAAGAAAATATCTCTCTGCTAAGGGAAAAAAAAAA